GCTTGATGTATTCTGGTCAATACATTCTTAGAATCCAAGCTGCCGATTCTCCTTGTGTTGCGGGGAACTTCAGGTTTCTATGTTTAATGTACTACCTCTGTTGTTGTTGATGTGGGTCGTCTATTAAAATAGATACGTAAATCTACGCTAAATAGAATTGTCGGACTTTCTTCGTTGTGTAGGCGCTGGTTGTGAGCATGATCTCGACCGGCGGAGGCAGGAGCGCGATCCGCGGGACAAGGTGCTGGCGCGGCCACTCGTGTTGGGCGAGGAGCCGGAGAAGGCGACGGAGAGCCATCTGCCCGGGCTCTTGAACGAGGCTGTGGTGCAAGTGCATTTGAGCGACACGCGCCGCCTTGACGGCAATCGTCCATGGACTTGGCATGGTAGGTCGGCGCGAAAGACGCGATCGTTTCGCACGCGCCAGGCGTTGAACCATACGCAGGCGCGAAGCACTGGCCAGAGATAGCGGAACGCGGCTCGGTGCGTGTTGGAGACCGTCTTCGGCGTCGAGTAAAGGTAGCCTGAGCCGAGAGTGTTGTCGGCAAGACTACACCCAAGGGGGCCGTGACCGCATGGAGCGTGTTCCACACGTCCTTGATGAAGTCGCAGTCTACGAGGAAGCGGCGGTACGTCTCGTGCTCGGGGCAAAAGAGACACGCTTGGTCGGCCCTGTTGAGCCAGTGCAAATGAGCGTGTACTACCTCTGACCAATTTATATGTTTGTTTTTAACAATTCCAATTTCCAATTTCCGAAATTAAATGTTCAATTTTCAGATTCAGTTTTACAAAAATAGCACTATTCGAAAATCGAGCTCCAAGTCATCGATTATGCCGTCATGTACTTCCGTGCTGCAGTCTAAAATCAATGCCTAAAATCCAGTTGAAGTTGCACCCAACTCTTTGACCTTTTGAACTTCCTAAATCAAATTATGCATATGAGCCGAGAATTCTACGCCACTAAGGTAGGCGCAACAAAAACTCCAAGCATTACACCCACAGGACACCAGTTCTGCCAACCTGCCTCGAGCATGCAATACAGCATTTTCAATTGAGGGATTATCCGAAAGCAACTTGGTATGACATGGGACGCACTGAGGAAAATGTTGGCGCTTTGCAAATTTCTTGCGTACCTTAAGGACGTATAGCCGAAGCATTAGGTCCCAGTATAGTCGCGTCTCCATTCCGTATGGTTGTTCTACATGAAGTCCACCATGTACGTCCGACCAAAAAATTCTCCTCGTGGCGAACATCTTTCATACATACAAGTATTCGTTCATGAAAAGTAACCGGGCCTTTGTACAGTGTCTTCCCAATGTCGATTTTTGGCGTTGCAATTTTTTTAGCAGTCATGTTCGCTTACGTTGCTGTCCAATCTATGCAGCACGTGGTATCTCAATATTCAAATTCATACTCTCCAGTTTCAAAATACTACAGTCAACTTGACAAAAACTAGACAAAATTTCGCATCTGATGAGCGATGCCGTTTCGGCGAAATATTGGCATATTTACATTTCCCGCAGGATTGGATTAATACGCGTTGATCTTTAACGCAATGTGATTGGTCGATTCGAAAATCACTCGCACTTTCCTCCCGTTGCGCGTCAGGCGGCGATGTGGCATTTGCATCCACTTAAGGCGGATGATTTCTTACGAGAGCTCGAGCTTTCTTCGAACTCAACGTGCTCTATAGCAGGGATACCCTGTACAACTTCCCGCCCGACCTTTCCCGCCTTCGATATCGACCGCCAACTGAACCATCAACTTGCCCAACAGGCTGACTTGGCCGGGCCGACAATTCCACTCGACGCAGGACGAATCGCTGTTGACCACAGCCAATAAACAAAACGTGCGCCGTCATCTGCCGGGGCGGACCCCGAAGTTTGGGGCCCGCCCGACCTTTCCCGCCGGTGCTAAATTATCGACTGCCAACTGCGCTCCAAGTCGTCCAGGCCATTCTTTTCAGAAATGCATCCAGTCTCTCAACTGACACAAGACTTCCAATCCCCTCCCGTCCCATCTTTTCCCACGACGCACGCCACCACCTCCTCTCATTGGGCAACTATCTTCTCCCCTATCCCCCCATATCTGATAGGCGCGCGATTTATTTCGTCCCCTTCCCCTACTTCGGCTAACTGCCTACTAGGCACCACTAGTACTATTAGCCTACTAGGCACTACTATTAGCGATAGTAGTCAGATTCTGGCACATTGGAAACTCACCCCTCACTCAGTATAATGCAAATTTCTCACCCATTGTATCGTATTGACAACACAACCGTTATGCGGTCGGAGTGGTTGTGCTCGGTATCCACTTTGGTTGACCCGCCAACCTTCGCCAAAGTCTTCGTAGGTGGCATGTCATAGTAGGAAGATGTTTCGTCGACATAGATGAAGTCTGAAGGCGTGGTATCTTTGAACTTTTCCCAAAACGCCTTTGCAAATGTAGCTTTCGTCTTAGCAAGCACAGCTTGTGGACGCTTGATCGCACATGACACACAATGCGAGAAGCGATAGCGCTTGGTAAACCGTTCGCAGAGTCGGAGCAAGCTGTCGTACGCCGTGTCGTACAGTGACCGACGGAATGGAACGCCACCCGAAGTTTCGACGAATGCAACTCTACTTTTGTCCAATAACACATCACCAAAAGAATAATGCAACCTGATTGGCTTGTGAAATTTTTTTCCCGCCGGCGCGAGTTCCTTTTAAATTGAGATTGCCTTTCATTCAGCATATCATGACCGTGAACTCAACACTTCGAAAAAAAACGCCAAAGCGGTCGTACACCGTGGCGTTGAAGCTGCAGGTGCTAAAACTCCTTGAGACTTCAAGCCAGCTCCATGTCTCCAAGGAACTCGG